CACCACTGGAGTTGTCTTTTAATTTCGTTGTACTTTGTGTATGATGACAATAAAAAGCATTCTATTCTATTCTATTCTATTCTATTCTATTCTATTCTATTCTATTCTATTCTATTCTATTCTATTCTATTCTATTCTATCATGGTGCTGTTCCCCCTCCGGCCGGTAGGGGGCAGACACACATGTAGCGGCTCCTTTAAACAGGAAGAGGAGGTTTCCTCGCTGTGAAGATGGCGGTGAGCAGAGGGCTTCCAGGACTGTGGAGGACATGCAGTTTGTTGCTACCCAGACGCCCTCTTCTGCTCCCCGGAGCCTCCCGACCGCAGAGCTCTGTTAGCGGGGACCTGGTGCCCCGGACCTCGCTGTCCAGGCCTCCGTGGGCGGAGCAGACGAGCCTGGTCCCGGCGGAGGAGGAGCGGAGCAGACACGCCGCGGTGGTGAGCACCGTGAACCAGCGGATCAGCCAGCAGAGCTTCGCCCGGCTGTTCGCGGTGGTGCACATCGCCGGCCACCAGTGGAAGGTCACCAACGAAGACTTGATCCTCATCGAGAACCACATCGAGGCGGAGTGCGGGGAGCGGATCCGGATGGAGAAGGTGCTGCTGGTCGGGGCCGAGGACTTCACCCTGGTCGGCAGGCCTCTGCTGGGGAAGGAGCTCGTCAGGGTCGAGGCCACCGTGATCGAGAAGACCGAGTCCTGGCCCAGAGTCCACATGAGGTTCTGGAAGAGGCACCGGTTCCAGCGCAAGAAGTTCATCATCCAGCCGCAGACGGTGCTGCGGATCAACAGCATCGAGCTGGCTCCCAGACTGGCCTGATGGTGAACACACTGACTGCGGGTTTGTGTCTCTCCAAGACTTCCAGAGTAGCTTCAAACAGAAACGAACCTGAACAGCTTTGGAGTTGAGAGAAAATGTTCTCAGCTGTTGACTGGCGCTTCTCCTGTAAATACGCTGACACACTGCAGAGATGTGGATCAGATGTATTAAAGTTTGTGTTTTCTATAAATACCCTGAGGGATTTGGTCTGATTTTGAATTTAAAACTTTAATAATTGTATTTTTAAAAAAAGCTTTCAGTGTCCTGGCTGGTTGATCCACTCACAGGACAGCAGATGGTGAGGCTGATGCACACCAGGGCTTTCCAGGGATCTCACTGTTTTTCACTTTTTCAACAGACTCAATATCTCTAAAGCACTTGATTTGGCTTTTACTGAAATGATTCCTATTATTAAGGATGGCTACTGATGAAAACATGTTCTTCTGATTAGTTTTTTACGCCAGTTGGCATCAAGAAAGTTTTATTTTGAAGGTCTTGTGCCACACAAGCGATGGCAGTCTGCATATGTGGATTGATGATTAAAGGCAGGGGAGTTTGGAGTTCACACCTGCCCAAGACTAGAACTATGAGCCAACTTAACCTAACTCTGTTGTAAGATGATCAGAAAATTTTATCCACAATTTACACAACCGACAACCAGGCAGCGTCATTATTTCAATTTAAGAAATCGGTTTAGATGTCAGAGCTGTAACCTTTACTGACGGCGCCACAGTCTTGATTTTTACACAACTAAAGACTTTAAATTGATGCAGAAAAGGCACAAATTCATCATTAGATGTGTGGAAAAATTCACCAAGATGCCAGAAGTTGGTGCTCGAATTTCTCAAGACGCCGGCTTAATGTTTGTATTCAGTCTACGCCCATCAGCTGCTACGACTAGAAGTCTGCTCAGAGAACACAGACCTTCATCGCTCAGTTTTAAAAAGGGTTGCAACACACAGACCAGTTTGTTACCAGATCGGGGACACTGTTACCTCTGACTGGTGTTTAATCTGATTTCATGGAATGTTTAGGTTCAGATCACACAGTATCATCTCCAGGGATTATGACAGGACTACTTCTAGGATGAGTTACTGCTGATTAAATTGGCTTTCTTTAAGAATAATTTACATTTCTTGACAGAGCTCAGCTAAAATATGATTTCAAATGATAATGAACTTCAGTATGATGGATACCACCTCGGCACAGGATGTGAAGGTCATCCGTTTGGCTTGGTGCCCTGCTGGACACCTCAGTGCTCAAAAGGAAGTGAAGAGCATTGATCTGTTTTGTTATCAAGGGGTCAGAGATCTGGTTTTCTGTTTTCAGTTCCTGTTTGCTGGAGTATTTATTTTTTCCAGGAATAAACATGATTTCTGAAACAGGGTGACCGACAGAGTTACAGCAACTTATATGGTCAGTGTTGAACTTAAAGACTGGTGGTAATAGTTTGCTGATTGTTGTAAAAAGATCTAATCCCAGTGTCTTGATAAAATAAAATCATGTGTTATGACTTAGGTCAGATTATAGTACATTTAAAGTTATAGTTTTGATGTAAACTATAAAAAAAACACTTGGTTTCAGTGGTCTAAAGAAGCAAAGATTCACAACACAAAGCTGCAAAACAATATTTTGCTTTATTTTGAAACCTGAACGGATCGTCTCTGGGAACAGTAAAAGCTGCTTGGCTGCTCCGAGGACTGATCTGAAGGCACTGTTGAACATTTCTGCTCAGTGGTAACAAGTGTACTCATAACCGAACTCCAGCGCTGGAGGTGATGTTAAAATCAGGAGCTTGTCCAACAGGCAAAGACAAATCAAACAAGATGCTGCTACTCAGGCTAGCTGGTTGTTAGCGATCTGTTAACCAACCACGTGTTCCCATTTGGAGTCTGAATCAAAGAACAGCCAATGAACAAAAAAAAACTTTTAACTTAATGATCTGCTTTGGTGAAAATCATCCTTTTAAAACCTGTTCAGGTCTTCCTTCACATCCAACGATAAAGCCACCCTTTAGGAACCTCATTAACAAGAACTGTATTGCTAAGTTCAGACATTTAAACCCACACAGACCCTACGTGGTGAAGAGAAGCAGTGTTAAGACAGACAGGTGGTTTCATTCATTCACAGGCTGAGGAGAGATTCAGCCACATTTGTGATCCGTTTGAAGATTTGAGATGTACGAAAAGGATCGGTTCAGATTTTAAAGGCTATCTGAATACAGTATAAACACAACTTATGAAACTTCCTCCTCTCTGTATCAGCCGTTACCTCCCAGCATGACTACACTGTCAGAGATGAGCAGCAGCAGTCCTCGCTCTGTGAGACAAAGTGGATTCTAAAGTTCAGCTGAAGCTCCGACCAACCCGATGTGTGTCCTAATGCTGGCATTCCTCCATCATTGGCAATAATGAGGCAGCTTTCAAAGATACCCAGTTTGGCTGCAAGGTTCAAACGAAGCTCTAAATCAAGTTGTTTTTTTTTCACCCAGAGGAAAACCAGAATTTTAAGTTTCAAGATTCAGAACCAATTTGCTTCATAAATTGTAGCTGCATGGAAAGTTCTCTGTGGGAGCCAGAGGCCACTGTGAGGAGACGTCGTGCCCGTTGTTGACCCACGCTGACCTGTCCTGACCGAGAACAGCCGCTACAGCTGGATTAATCGATTCAGAAGGAATCTAAAGAAAGACAAACTGCAAACATCTGCTGGGGAAAACACGAGCTCTCACTCTGACTTGCTACAAAAAGCTAAAGTTGTGAGTAAAGTTTGATCAGAGCAGATCCTACAAATCTGAAATAGTTAGAAGTCAATGTGAAGATGACAAAGCTGCAAAAATCAACGCAGAACGTCTCATTTCCAAACAACAATCAGAAAAGGATTTTTTTTAAAACTCATTTTAAATAGAAACTCTAAAGACAACCACGCCTACTTTGACACGGTGACGGAGTGCAGAGGCAGCGTCTGAACTTCTCCCTCAGGCTCTCTTTTTAAAGTCAATTCCTCTGCTTTGGTTGTTTTTGGAGCACACGACTAAAAAATAAAAGCAAAAAGGTCTGATGGTGTTCTAAGACTGTGCTACATCAACACACCTTCATCTTGTGTGTGCATTCATTCAGACAGAGCCGTTACCACGTCTGACCGACTGCGACTGCTGTTGTGATTTACTGAAAAGTGAGCAGGGCGATTATTTACACTGAATTGTTGTCAGATTAATCAAAAGGGCGCATGTCTGAGGAGAGTCTGACGGTATCAATTGGTCATCACTACCTTTCCTTTCTGAGGTTGGTCATTTGAAGGACACTGACAGCTTTTCTTGAATGCTGAGGCCTCAAATGAACTTCAGCTGAAACGTAAAACATATTTCTACCCAGAATAAGGACTGCACATTCTTACTAACGTTTAGGATTATGGGCTTACTTCATGACGGGACGAGGAATGATTACGGCGACTGACGTGTGTGCATGTGATCGTTGCATTAAGAGAAACTTCAAAATCCAGATACAGTTTTATAGACTCCAAAAATAGTCCCCACTCAAATTCAGACCCTGAGCTTCACCTCAATCCATTTCATCCTCCCAGAGCAGACACCCTGCTCAGTCCAACAAATTAATGATCACCTGCTAATCACCAAACGTGTGAGACGTTCTTTGCCTGGTCAGCGGTGACTGGTGAACTACGTGACCCCTTAAGCTTCAGAATGTGACTCGTACTGTTGTGTATCAAGTGTGTATATTTGATGGCAATTGTTTAAATGCCAGAATTCCCTCGGGTTTAGGTACAACATTTTCTTATCCTTTAGGACTGAGGCAAGAACACAATCTCCTCTTGCTGTCACAGCAGCAAAAAAGAGAACTATTTCTATACTAGAATCTCAAGTATAATCTTCAAAAGACCAATCAGTATAGTCCAAATGATCGACTCTTCCTCCTCAAAGTCCTCTGATGTCTGAGTGGATTTCTTTCCCTTGTGTTCATCTTCTGAAGAGTATGAGCCCTTATCAAACGGATCCTGAGGCACCGTCTGATCATAAAAAACTCGCATTTCAAACTCGCTCTCTTGGTGAGACGGGTGGCCGTAAATGCCGATGCCCACGGGCCTTGTGAAGTCTGCCGGCACCACCACCACGTCGTGGCCACAGGTGGCCGACTGCAGCTTGTATGTGTCGAAGCTCGGATGTAAGGTTTTATCCGACACGTACAGGTCTGCGTCTCCTTTGAGGCTTTGCATGTGCAGGATGATTCTCCCGTCATGGTTGAGACGCAGGTAGCTGTAGTTTCCAGCCCCGATGTGGCCCTGAACCACATGGAGCAGCACCCACTCTTCAGGGACGCCGTCGTCCTCCAAGGGGTTCAGGAAGCTTCTGGCCTGGGACAGCAAGAGGGCGACGACCAGCGCGCTGCAGCTCAGCATCATGGTAAAGGCATCTGTCAGTCAGCCAGCAGACAGCCTGAGAAACAGCACGAGCACAGATCAGAAAGAGGGATTTACCAGCTACGCCCAAACAGAGGAGGAAGCTAAAACTCATTCAATGCAACAAGCATTGACTAAGGATGCGACCCACTGGGGATTCACTTCAAAAGTGAGAGCGCTGCATACGTGCTGCTGAAATTAAATGTGTTCAGTCCACATGAAGTCTCTGCTGCTGTTGTCACAAGCAGCTGTTTGTCTGTCAGCAGCACAGAGGAGCTGAAAGGAGGACGGTCTGACAAACTGCCTTCAACAGATGGGCAGAAGAAACTCATTATCCAAATCTACCATTGTATATATGGCTGTGCAATGTTTTTTCAGCCTTGGCACTGAGATGTGATCATGCCCAACAGCGATACTGCAGGAAGTCTTAAGTAGGGCAAACAACCTCAAACACAGCACGCTACAGTTTTTTTTTCTTTTTCCTGCTTGATACATAAAAAACCAACAAAAACAAAACACTTCTCATTTTCCATGACATTAAAATGTCTGATGGAGCAGAATTTACTCTGATTTAAGGGTTCTTTGATGCAACGAGTTTTAACTTTACTGAGTTTGTTGACATGTTCACAGCAAAATAAGCCAGGAACAGGAGAGAAACCCTGAAAAGGAGGATTTGTTCGCATCAGTAGTAAAGAAATGTTTCGTCAGCAGAAAGGATGATGAATGAAAACAGCAGTAGGAGCAACACACAAGGTAACACAACTCAGCGGGCATCAACACCACAAAGCTTCTACAAAGGAGTTATTCAGAACATCTGGAGAAGATTTCTGGTTTTTGTTTGGTTGCAATGTCAGTTCCCCCCCTAAAAAAAATATATACTAACCTATAATAGACGACAGGTATAAAACAGTAAACAATACAATGAAATAACTTTACAAAAGATGAAAACTACAACCCAAAGCAACTTCACTTTCTAACCACAGTGACTTCCATCTGGTCACTGTTTCATTAGACACCCTGGTTTACAGAACAGAACAGCCACCTGTAGAGAAAACCTTGTCAGCGGTGGACCTGCTGACTGGCACAGCTCAGTGAAAGCTGACTCGAAAAGAAACGGGCGAGTTCCGACCGGAAGTCCCTCAGCAGAGTTAAAAATAACCTGCTCGGTCTGATCTCCACCTGTGGGTCTGACCTTTGATACGAAGGAAAGCAGACTTCAGTGGTTCACTAATGAAAGCCAACCGAAGCACCTGACGTTCGCTTTAACATTTCATACAGCTTCTGATAAGTGTGAAATAATTAAACAATTACACCAAGAGTAATTAAACCTAAACTGTCTCGGCGCTGTTTTGGAGTTTATGCTAACACAGCACCTGTTCCTGCGTGCAATTTGATGGTAAAATGATAATAATAACGAACACAGACACGTATTCGGTCAAATGAATGTCCGGCGATATAGCTGTTAGCTCACACGGTGCGAGGTAGAAATAGCCTGAGCTAGCAGTTAGCTACATACTTAGCTAACAGTTAGCCACTTACTTAGCTAACTGACTAGCCTCTTAAAACTGTTGGTTAGCTATCACGGAGCTAACATCGCTGCTAGCTTGTTGGGTCCGAGCTAAACCCTTTTTACGGAAGACGAAGTCTGTGGGATAACTCAGAACTTTAGAATTAAGTTGTGTTAAAGATAATAAAAAGCCATTTAATAAAGCACTAAGTTTACTTACACAGCTGTCATTTCCTCAGCAGCATCCTCGACTAAACACAGCAGCGACCAAGTTCACTTCTTCACTGTCTTTTCCTGCGACTGACCACCAGCTAAGTGACGCGCTGTCGCCACCTACCGGCCGACCTGCACATCACCAGCGTCAACACTCGCTCCACCAAATCTGCTTGTTTTAGGTGGATTTAGTGAATTACTGAAAAGCTAAAATAAGTTACTGACGGAACTTACTACTTTTTGACACTATGTCAGATTCAGAACCAATTATTTTTCAGTCAAAAGTTTGGACGCAGCTTTTCATTCAATGGCTTTTTATTTATTTCAATTATTTTTTATATTGTCTGTTAACACTGATGACATCAAAACTATGAAAGACCACATATGGAATTATGTTATAAACCAAAAAAGTGTTAAACAAATCAGAATATGTTTTATATTTTATATATTGAGAGAAATTGATGGATCTCCAACAGCTTGTTGTCGAGTTCTACACAAGTCTGTTAATGATCCATTCATGTGAGTCAGGACGGTAGGTCACAAGGACCGGAGTTGGAGATCTTTGCCTTAGTAGAATACAATCCTGCCCATGGTTTGATTTATGGTAGCTGGCTAATTATTTATTAAAATTGTATTAAAGATATAAATATTTCAGATAATAGTGATAATCATTTCAAACAGATATGCAACTTTTCAAGTCTATCCATTTGCCAGGTGATCACATCCATCCATCCATTATCTATACACCGCTTAATCCTCGCTTGGGTTGCGGGGGGCTGGAGTCTATCCCAGCTCAGGTGATCATATGAATATCTAGATTATTGCTTGCTCTGGTCACTCTTCCCACTCATGTTGCTAATATCAGGTCTCAGCAGTCTTTTTTTTTTTTTTTTTTTTTACAAAATTCAAGCTGGTAATTTCCCACTTGTAGTGTTGATGAAGAAAGTCATTCTCTTTTCTTTTGATGGTCACCACACCCTTTGATCCCACCACCTTTTGCTCATTCTTCTCCTACCTCCTGTCATTGATTAGCAACTGTATGCTAACTAACCACTTTTCACTTCCATATTTACATACAGAGCTTCCCTACCCTCTGACATACCTGATAAACGACTGCAGATGTTCTGGGTTGTTGGTGAGTCCACCGTCTACCAGAATACTAATAAACACCCACTAACTTCACATGAGGACTAAGGGTAAAACTTCTTCCAACAGTATCTTGAAATGTTTATTCTGAATCATGAGGCTTTGTGCATTCAGATTGTTCTTGAACTTCAGTGCAAAATAGGCTGAAAATGTAGCAGAGCATCCCAAAAGAATAGCTACTGAGATGCCAGTATTCCCAGTTTATGTTGCCTCACTTGGTTTTCTTCCTTAATTTCCAACATATTAATGGCTGGCTATCAAAAAATATTATCAAAAACAACCTGCCACCACAGGGCCCTTTTGGCAAACAAACATGTAGTTAATTACCACATTGTAGTTGCTTGGGAGGAACCCTGTAGCCCCACACTGCCAGCTCGCTAATCCAGTTTTGTTCTTGGTTCTTACAAGTGCTGAAAGATTTCCTCAGCTGACAGAACTGTGACACTAACTAGAGTATCGGAGCAGCGTCAGTGCAGCAGGAAGGACCGGTTCGATTCACCTGAGAAACGTCCTGCAGGGACAGATGCCGTATCGTCAAGTGTTACTTTATTGGACTGCATATTTACATTTGCCTTGGCAACACTAAAGACAAAGCTGTCCTGGGCGACAACTCTTCCTCTTCTTAAAGTCAGAACCACAAAGACATTCCACATGTTGAACTAAAATCATCTGAAAAAGACAAGGAAACATTAAACGTATCAGCACAGTCGACAAACTCAAAGCGAACACCGCCTCCACATTTTCTACAGACACTTTATGAAACCAACATGTGTTTGGGCTTCCCCCTGCGTGATGGGTATGGACATGTGTCACCAATTGGACTCGTCTTAGGTATAATTTAACTGGTACATATACACGTTATTCATCTGTTGCTATAACCACTTTTAATTCGATATCATCACCTCGGCACCTCCTAATGTGTGAGATCATTCAAAATAAATTACATATCTGTTTCCAGCCATGCCCACTCGCACCTCACTCATAAAAATCAACATGTATTGATTTCACATCATTTGTTTTTATAAGCCTTTTTCACTTTAATGAACACCAACTGTAATTTTTAACAAAAAAAAAAAAGAAAAGAAAAGAAAAAAAACAAAAAGAAAAGAAAACAACAACAAATGTTCCGGGGAGGGGGGGAAAGTGTCTCGACAACAGGTTGGATGACTTGGTCGGTATGTTTCCAAAAAACCACATCAAATTGTAAATTCTATATAGATATACTCGTTAAACAAGTCTGCATAATCTGTCACATTAGATACATTTGACGTTATGTGGAAGTCACCTACTATCACCACTTCAGTGTTTAATATTTACTGCAAACCAGTCGACCATGTTAAGGCTTCCAAGTTCGACGGCGGAGTCAAAGTCGATCTGTCACGTCCACAAAGTCCGGACCGGGCCTCGGCGGACTCTCAACCCTATGAAGAGGCGTTTCCTGATGTTACTTCAGTATGAAAAGGCCCCGATAAGTAGTGTTGTGATCTTTTTCTTTCCCACTCCTCAATATATAAGATTATCTCAACATTTAAATAAATCACTGCATCTGATGTCTTATAAAAACACGCCTGTATCTTCATTTCATTGTGGGTGGCGAATAAAGAAACTGGATTAAATATGCTTGTGGATGATTCAAACTGTACAAACTCTGACTGGACAGAGTTTGAGAGGTTTTTGTTTTTTTTTTTTTTTGGGTGGGAGTAGGGGAAACAGGTATCCATGACTTTTCCATTAATTCTTTTAAAGGAACATCCGCAAAAAATGCTTGCATTATACAGTTTACAAATGTAGTACCATGCTAGCGCTGCTCGCCTCGTCCTAACCGTTAATTAGCAATGGAGAATCAGTGCTGTTGGAAACTACAACACACACTACTGTTGTTAACCCCATTCTGTCCAGGTGCCTTCTGCCTTCACCCAATCACAACGCCCGAAAGAGAGGAAGGAGGGGGAAAGTGTGAACGGAGAGGGAGAGACAGAGTAAGAAAACGATGTTTGTACAGAAAAGTAACTGAAGTAAACAGAGCAGCAAATGTAGAAAATCACACTTCATGCGTTCAAAACGAGTGGCAGCAGGAAAAAGGGGAGGAAGGGGGGGGGGAGGGCTTCACAGTTTCTTCAGCTACAACGCAGAGGTGGATGAAGGTGTGCATATTGGGGCATGTGATGCAGAGTACGTTAGCAGGGTTACCAATCGTTTCAAGGGTGATTCTGCGACTTGGCCGAGCACGGGTTTCATAAGGTTACGTGCCGACCGGCTGATGTGTCGCCTGCCCGTGGACAGAATGGGGTTAAAACTACATTCCTGGTCTGACTAAAATGGATTTTGCTTGTTAACGTAGAAAGAGTCTCTTTGTGTTTCCAACACTTTGTTAAATTCTTGGCTTTGTCTTCTTGTGTCATACAGTTTCTTTAGAGAAATGAAGCCTGCTGTAAGTACGCTCTGGTCTCCCGCTCTGGTCTGTAGTGAGGGGGGCCGAGGCAGCTATGATGCTGGGAGGTCCGCGCTGGAGGGAGGGGGGAGGGGACTGGAGGAGGCGGCGAGGTCGGCTCAGACGGGAGGCGCTTTGCGCTGCAGTAGATACTGGTGGATGTCGTCAGCGTCGCGCTTCAGCCAGGCGGCGTTGAGGAGGATGTTCTCACAGCACTGCTGCACCGTACGCTCTGCTGATGGCGCCGGGTGACTCTCAAAGAAACTCTGCAGGGACACAACGAAGGAGAAACGCTTAGCCTTCTATTGCACACCTCACGCACTCTGAAGCTTTTGACCGACTCCCACAGCCTTCCTCAGCACAGGGAGTTTGCTGTGTTGTCATGGAACTGACAGCTCTTCAGTCATTGGCTAAACCCCTAGAAAAAGTCATTTCTGTTTATCAAAATGAGATATTTTCACATTTTTTCATCTAAAACTATCTTTTTTTGCATTTGGTGTTAATGCTGCTGTGTTCACCAGATGAGTAAGCAGGCAGCTGTTTGCTAAGCTGTAAACTTCACTCGGTTTATGACTGAGTTTGTGGTCATTCTGTCCTCTAGTGGTCAAAGTTCAAAGTTGTGCTTAAAGCAGCTTGAGGAGGAAGTAAGTGTTGTTATCGTTTCATTTCACGTTACATACACCATTAGAACAATTCTGTTTTTTTAAAAGTAACACACTATGGGAGTAAAGCGCTTAAATGACAACCGGTATTGTGCCGTGTGCTCACCTTCACTTCAGCAGCCATTTTATCGATCGCGAACCCGTCGACTGTGAGCTGCAAAAGACACACGAACAAGACAAATGTGAAGCGCAAAGCAAAAAGCAACAAATCTCCATTGTGACTGAAAGCAAGCATCTGATTTTTAATTTAAAATAAAAACAAACAGGCAGGTTGTGTAAATGAAGCTTCTGCTCATTGTGTTGGACTCTGTGTGTAAAGAACAAACACTGACACAACAACACATGACCTCAAGAGATTCAGAAATCAGAAGAATCAAGAGGTTGTGTTTTCTTTTTTTTTTTTTTACCTTAACGAGCCGTGATATGAGGAAACCTCCCTGGTAGCGGCTGTAAAGCTCCTCCCAGTTATCCTTGACAAACTTCCAGGCGGCTTTCCGACCTTGTTTACTGCTTCCTGCCACTCCCCCGATTACTGACACCGTGTCCTGGGGACGAACCTCTTCCTGTTGAGGACAAGATCCAAAAGACAGACAAGTTAGCTGTGGTGGTGTCTGATGGGAGACGTTCCAGTCGGGGGCGGAGACTGAACCTGGATATTCACTGCAGAGATCAGATGAGGTGAACCCGTCTGATCTCCCCCCTTCAGTTTCTATTAAAACTAATGTTATGTAAGGAGCAGCAAATCCAGCACAAATCAATATTTTAAATGCAAAAACCTAATGCTGTCCTCAGGTCAAATGCCCAATTTTTCCCTCCGCTATATTTTTTAAAACAGAGGCACAGCAAAAATAATG